CCGAAACGTCGGGCAGTGAATAAAGTGTTCCTTTAAAAACCCGTTACGGCTTAAAACAGTTGAACAATGTAGAGGAACAGTTTTTTTTTTCGATTTCGTTGATAATGCATAGTACATTGTATCTGTAATGTTCGAACGTAGCTTCTCTGTAAACAACTCATCAAACACTTGACTAGACGCTTTCTTCTGGAGGTACGCTAAAGGCCTTAAATTGGTCGCTGAGCTGGGGACATTGTCGTCATAGTAGCATCATGAAGGCCTAAAATATCCTACTTATCTTCTTCTAAATTTATCAAAATCGTTCAGGATTTATTCGCTTTCCTGCCTATCCTTTATCTTATAAAAAAACTGATCGTCGGTATTTTTCCGCTTCTCTGTATCCCCTTCAACAAAAGGAACGACAAATATAAACAATGCTCAAAAAAGAAGGATTATCATTGCACTAGTCACGCAAAGCAAGGGAAAACTCTTTTCGCATTTTTGTAAGAACAAAATCATTTGAAAAAGCTAGCGAAAAACTTTTATCCTATTATTGAGTTGATAACCAGATTAATTCCAAGTATACCCCGATGTTTTTAAAGGAAATTCACTACCAATTCAATTCTAGAGAACTCATCCGAGAAGTGTCTAAACTATAACCTGAGGCAGATCAAAGATAACAGTCCTTGCAGTTACAAACACTTTTGACAAATTTTGAGGTTTATTTCTGGAATTTATCCCAGAGTGAGCATACATGCGTTACATCCTCTCATGTGAGGTGCATTGCGAATGGTGGAGCTTATGGGAGGATGAAGTATTCCGGAAAAAATCGATGATTCTACAAGATTCCATTATGAGTCCCTTTCAAATAATTTAAACATAATCCCCTCCCCTTTATTTTTTCTAATACAGTGCTGGCCAAAACTATACTTCCACCCTGAAAACTGCCGTAACTCATCTGCTTCTCAACGAATTGATCTGAAATCTGGAACAGCTGTGTGCTTAACAGGCTGTCATCAGCACCTAAAACGGATCTCGTTTTTGTTTGTTTATTCAGGAAAAAATCAGAAATTTCGAAAAAAGCAGGCTTGAAGGTTGGCCAAAACTATACTTCCACTTAAGGTTTCTGTCCGCTAAGGTAATTCTCCGCTTCCAAAATCTTTTGTGCATATACATAGTCAAAAGTCAAAACAGTCGCTTTAGTCCAGGTCATACCTTTATAAGAAACGCTATTCCGCTTTTTTTTTCGCTTAAAAATACTTTCACAGGTATTTTGTTCCCGAGAATGTCTTTTTATGGCTAATTTCGCAGTTTCTTTGACTGGAATGGAAGCGATAGGGCTCCATCTATCTTATAGATGCTTAGGGAAGTGAGGACTAGAAAAAAATTTAAGTTTTCATATTTAAAGTGCACCCGACATAGACCTAACAGCAAGCCTGCGCTCAAATTTTTGCCTTCAAAGTTGGTTTATGTTATTTTAAAACTCTACATGATGTAGAAGGATTATTTACATAAAAAGAAGTTTGTACACTATACTCACGACTGTTCGCCAAGTCGCATTTTGCTTCGTTTTCAAAGCATGAATCTTTGCTGTTCAATGGTAATAATTAGGCAATCCCAAAGTACTAGGTTGTCCGGAAATTAATATCCGTTTTAAATTTCAACCGCAACAACTCATACACTTTTCATTCCTGAATAGCTTTCAAGGTATCATTCGATAGAGCAAAGCAAGCTCTACAAGATGGATGTCTTGCTTAGCAACAGCTCTGATTCACCTCGAGTTTCGGGCCAAAAACTAAAAAGATTAAACTGTCCGAAAAATCAAGAAAAATCATAATTCAGTTCGTAAGAATTCCTCAAAAATTCTAACTTGCCCACGTAAACACTATCCGCATAAGACATATATGTACGCTATTGCCGTATTTTTTCCTCCGTTAGAAATTGAAAAAACGAAAATTTAGTTTGGATCATCTGACTAATGAAAGCTAAATTCGATATAAGCAGTGGTATCAACGCAGAGTACTACTGAAAATTTACGTTTATACTTCTGCAGATTTGTAGTACACATCTACTTATGTGGGGACGACACAGCATCACTTTTGCAAACGTATGAAAATTTTCGTTTCTTCGATTTCTAACAGAGGAAAAATACGGCAATAGCGTACATATATGTCTTATGTGGATAGTGTCTACGTGAGCAAGTTAGAATTTTTGTGGAGTTCTTACGAACTGAATAATGATTTTTCTTGATTTTTCGGGCAGTTGAATCTTTTTAGTTTTTGGCCCGAAACTCGAGGTGAATCAGAGCTGTTGCTAAGCAAGACATCCATCTTGTAGAGCTTGCTTTGCTCTATCGAATGATACCTTGAAAGCTATTCAGGAATGAAAAGTGTATGACTTGTTGCGGTTGAAATTCAAAACGGACATTAATTTCCGGACAACCTAATACTTACCAAGTGATATCTTTCCCTATTCTTGCCACTATTTAGTTGCTAGGTAGAGAAAACACTCTGTATTGTATGTTACCTTGTGACTCACGTGAGCATTACTGTCAGAACCAAAAATAAGTTCAAGGCTTTTTGCAAATCAGTTTTTGCAGGTTGATTTCCTCAATTAGCCTGCATGCTAGGACCTGCGGAAATCTGCAACCACTGCATTCGGACTCTCACACGTACAACAATGTTAGTACTCTATCTCACGCTCATGAGGACCTTGCAGGAGGAGTTTGAAGGCAAAAATTTGAGCGCAGGCCTGCGCTTAGGTCTATGTTGGGTGCCCTTTAAATATGAAAACTCAAATTTTTTTCTAGTTCTCACTTTGCTAAGCATCTATAATAGATGGAGCCCTATCGCTTCCAATCCAGTCAAAGAAACTGCGAAATTAGCCATAAAAAGACATTCTCGGGAACAAAATACCTGTGAAAGTATTTTTAAGCTATCGAAATATCGAATTTAGCTTTCATTAGTCAGATGATCCAAACTAAATTTTCGTTTTTTCAATTTCTAACGGAGGAAAAAATACGGCAATAGCGTACATATATGTCTTATGCGGATAGTGTTTACGTGGGCAAGTTAGAATTTTTGAGGAATTCTTACGAACTGAATTATGATTTTTCTTGATTTTTCGGACAGTTTAATCTTTTTAGTTTTTGGCCCGAAACTCGAGGTGAATCAGAGCTGTTGCTAAGCAAGACATCCATCTTGTAGAGCTTGCTTTGCTCTATCGAATGATACCTTGAAAGCTATTCAGGAATGAAAAGTGTATGAGTTGTTGCGGTTGAAATTTAAAACGGATATTAATTTCCGGACAACCTAGTACTTTGGGATTGCCTAATTATTACCATTGAACAGCAAAGATTCATGCTTTGAAAACGAAGCAAAATGCGACTTGGCGAACAGTCGTGAGTATAGTGTACAAACTTCTTTTTATGTAAATAATCCTTCTACATCATGTAGAGTTTTAAAATAACATAAACCAACTTTGAAGGCAAAAATTTGAGCGCAGGCTTGCTGTTAGGTCTATGTCGGGTGCACTTTAAATATGAAAACTTAAATTTTTTTCTAGTCCTCACTTCCCTAAGCATCTATAAGATAGATGGAGCCCTATCGCTTCCATTCCAGTCAAAGAAACTGTGAAATTAGCCATAAAAAGACATTCTCGGGAACAAAATACCTGTGAAAGTATTTTTAAGCGAAAAAAAAGCGGAATAGCGTTTCTTATAAAGGTATGACACAGCTGGACTAAAGCGACTGTTTTGACTTTTGACTATGTATATGCACAAAAGATTTTGGAAGCGGAGAATTACCTTAGCGGACAGAAACCTTAAGTGGAAGTATAGTTTTGGCCAACCTTCAAGCCTGCTTTTTTCGAAATTTCTGATTTTTTCCTGAATAAACAAACAAAAACGGGATCCGTTTTAGGTGCTGATGACAGCCTGTTAAGCACACAGCTGTTCCAGATTTCAGATCAATTCGTTGAGAAGCAGATGAGTTACGGCAGTTTTCAGGGTGGAAGTATAGTTTTGGCCAGCACTGTATCAGTACGAGATTTTCTAGGAAGTCGAAGTACGGCTATAAAACCGCATCCTGTTGAGTACCGTCTTTTATTTGACGTCATATATACCCGAAATTGTAAGTGTATATGTCAAAAAGTCACTGAATCAATGAAAGTGACAGTTCTCTTATCAAAAGATGTCATATTCTGATTTTCGGCTTAGAAGGGCAAGTGAAGACATCTTATGCACGTTACAGGATGTTTCATGACATAACACCGGAGAAAAAATGTGACACTACGGACTTCCACAAGCGACATGGATTGGTATAAAAGGTACAGCACGACTGCTCTACACTTCATTTTCTGCAATTTGCATCTCGTTCTCTATTGCAGCTAGATGAAAGAGGGTAGTTTCCTAAAATCTAACTTGAAATTATTTTAGATAGTCATTTGGGACAGTGATAAACCATGAAACTTTTATTCAACAGGGTCATTCTATTGGGTAAGCTAACTAACTGTTTTACTGGAATCACATTCTAAACATTGTGGTTTAGGACTACTGACTGCGGTTGGAGCACAAGAAAATACTCGTTATTATGAAAGAGAATGCCCGTGCACACCATCAAAGCTATGGCTTGATGTCGTGGTTGCAATTGACAATTCCATGGGTATGACCATGGAGGGAATGGCACAGGTAAGTATAGCTTACCTGTGAGATTGAGGCGGCGATCTCGCAGTCTAATGTAACCCATGAAATCAGCAAGGTCTACATGTACCGCTGTGATACTAATCTCCAATATTTAGGTCATCGCCGACCTGAGTACGGTGTTTGATCCGACAACGATTGCACAGGGTGAAGGGCATCATACTCGAATTGGAACCCTTACATACGGAACCACGGCGAAAGCGGTAAATATTAGTAAATTTTGTGCTTAAAAATGGTCTCTCGGAGTGAATGCACCATTCAGATCCACAAACTCAATGAGTTCAAATCAACTGAAGAATTTTTGATGAGGATTTGGGAGATTAAAAACGGCAATGATAAATCTAGCGAGCTGGAAGAGTGAGAATTTTCGAAAGACGGCTGGAATCTGATAGACCATATCCAATCTTTCAGTGCTCTTATGAGAGCTGAGGAACTCTTCGCTGAGGGTCGACCGGCAGGAGTCAGGGAGAATGTCAAGCAGGCCATCATCATCTATGCCAGCGTTTACAAGTTAGTAAAATTAGATTTTTTACCTACCGCAGTATTTGGTAAAAGAACATCGTAGTATTGATGCAATAATCGACAGTGCTGTTTTTCTTTCTCCTAGCTCAATTTTGCATTTTAGGGAGCTCCACTTTGGAGATGCTAAACAGCTAGCCGACCAGATCAAGATCAGTGGAAAAGACATCATCGTTGTCGCATTGGACCAGGGAGGAAGACCAAATGCTCTTCTGGAACTTCGCAAGGTAAAAATATTTTATGATTGTTCCAAAATTCTTCTACAAATGCTCTATTTCATTAACAGATAGCCACTGAAGGATACTTCTTCATGAACACAAATGCCAATCTAGCGGGAGAGCTACAGCATGCACTGTGCCAAAGTAAATTTGATTTCTAACGAGCATCACTAATAAGTCAGACTGCTAATGATGCTAATATTTTAGTCAACTGTTTCTGTAGGAAGCAATGGTTGCAGTATTCTCTCGATTCTATAAAATATGGATCGTGTTTGAGAATTGGTGAGCTGTTTGCAAAACTTGGGCTCTTCAAGTAATGAATACTCTAAAACAATCTTTATTCCTAACTTGCAGGTGGAAATGATTCGAACTGGAACCTTGCAAAGAAATCGTGCATTAGAGTCGGCCATGAATCGGGTCATCTTGCCTCCGTTCTTGACCATGCAAAGCATACCTTCATTGCATGTAAATTTGGACTACCAGTCCATTTTCAGGCAAAACCAAGGATTTTTGTTTCAGCAATGTTCAGAAACGACTACAGGATGGAACCACCTTACACGTACCATATTGGTCTGTCTTACGACAAAACGAATGGTGACTACTTCTGGGAACAGCCTAATGGATCAAGCCCAGAAAAAATTCCGGTACATCCTCCCACTTTGCATTGATTTCCAAATCTTGATTGATATTGAAAGCATGATTTTTAGTTGGAAGGCTCCCTTTACACGAGATGGAACAAAAATCCTGATGTGACTGGAGATGCAAACTGTATCCTGACTGCTCAAACATCTACCAGTTTCGAGGTTTGTCTTGAGTGCACTTCTTCCGATAAGGAAACATACTAACACGGATAACACTAAGTATCAAACGATTTCAGCTTTTCTGGCAGAATGTGCACTGCAGAACCGTGTCGAAGCGCTACATTTGCCAGATGAATACGTGCGATACCGACAATTATTGCCCAGACATATATGAATGAGTATTCTGAGCAATGTACTGATTTATATGCAATGAGCCAAATGCATGTTCGCTGTCTGTATGTAAGCACATCCAATAAATATTCGATATTTTTTGGATAATCAAGGCATGAGAAATCGGCATCTAGAGTTTCTTGAATAAAGGTTTTCTAATTTGACAGCTAATACCGTAATCTTTATGTTTTTGAAATCTCATAAGTAAGGGGACCGAGTTCCACTAATTTCCTCTTACCCATATTATGTCGATCCAAAATTTTTGTGTTCTGAGCATTATTTGAGCACTCCCAGTTTCAAGGAGCAACAAAAATTAGACTGAAGAGCACGGCTTTTGCCATTCTTTTATTGCTAGCAGCTCTGAGAAAGCTGTATGTCAAGTTGACTAACTAGACCTGTAACAAAAGTTTTCTTGCTTTAGCGATAATTCTACTTTTGTGCAGAAGGTACTTAGAAAGAGGGACTATAATTCAATCTCTATGCAGCCGCAACGAGAGCATTTACCTCCGTATAAGGGGCTACCTACGGGAAGTACCAAATGTAACTTCACTGGCTGCTCACCAATATCTGTGTTTACAAACAGCCTCAAAACCATCCTAATTTCCTGCGTATGAGATGTTCAAAACATCTTATACGCTGCAAAAATAGGAGCATTGGCAGCGGTTAAAGTCAATCCCACTACACAACCGCGTTGAGGATGTTGTTTTTAAACGATAGAGTCAGCTTGTGCTGCCGCTCTGTATTTCATGACTCGCTGGAATTTGTAACAATGCTCGTTGGCTCGTAGCGGTCCCCCTGGTCACGACGCTGGAAACAAAGCACGTACCGAGTACGTGCTGCCTCAGCTGCGGTTCATCCGGCGGCTAACTCTTATCACAGCCTATTAAAAGTGATTTATCATGGCAAGAAGTCAATGACTACGGCACTGTTAAGCGTCTTTTTGACAGAAGTAGAATCTGAAGGTTGTGAATTTTCTTTATGCCTGGCTCGCAAGCAGTGGTTCATCGAAGATTTCGATATCCTGAAATTTTGATTATTACTACTACAAACATGTTTAGCAGTGCCCTAATATATCCTTAGTACAACTTTGCAGCGTTTTCATTAACTTCTCGCCAAGATAAATCACTCTGAAAATGAGAGGTGATTCCTGGGAATCCCCAGAGGATTCCGGGGGGATCACACAAAATGGCAAAAACCAATCTTGTACGGCAAACCTGGCATCCATTATGCGCAGATATAAGAGTATGAGAGCCTTCATAAGCAAGATAGAGAAGGAAGAAGAAAGATACCTAGAGTAGTGAAATATGTCAGACAGTCGGTGCCGTAGCTCCGGAGGGCAGTCGAAATCTAGCAGGGCTCCGGAGGGCACTCTTAACTATTGAGGAACGGGACGAGGGGCGGTCTCTTTTTGTGACGCCACGGTGACGTCACAAGAAGGCGGATGGGACCCCTCCCTCGGGCTTGCAAATCTCTGCTCCGGAACTACGCCAGGTTTCGAGGAGCCCCGGAGCACAGATTTGTTCTCCGGAGGCCAGATTTGCGACACTTCCGGAGCAAATGGGTTCGCAGCCAATTTGCAGACGCTGACGATGATGCGCAGCTGAGCATTTTCGAAACTACGCTGCACCCTTTCGGACTTGTCCTTTTCTTGTTGTTCCTTTTTACTCGTTCTTCTTTTTCTTCTTCGTGTTGTTCTTCTGCGTGTCGGCGTTTATATTGTTCTATCTTCCTTCTTTTCGATTACATGTTTCGGATTTTCGTGCGGATGCACTCAATCACCTTTGGTGTTCGGCTTTCGTTTTCGACTTGCTGCTGCTTTCCGCGTTCTTTACCGTTTTTTTCTTCTCCGTGTTGCTCTTCGGCGCGTTGGCGTTTATGTTGTTCTATACTCTTTTTCAGTTTTATGTTTTGAGCTTTCGTGCAGGTGCACTCAATCACTGATACTTTCCGCCACATTATAAATCTCCGACAAACAATGGACTGGACGTTATTGTGGACGTTTGCGTCTTTTTTGATTGCCATACTCCTCTCGCATTAGCTGCGTCTCTTCCAATCGGGCTCATATCTGGTCCGCTCTTCTGAATTTTTCAGGCCGTAAAATTATTTGACTGTTTATTTAGTGAAAAGCATTTGGGCTTTAGCGATATCTTTTTGAGACAAATCTGAGGCTAAATATACAATATTTATAATCTCATTTGACATTTGATACTTTCAGAGGGTATGATTTGAATTAAACTCTCCATATGTTTTTAACCAAAGCTGAGATCTTGTTTGAAATCATCTATTCTTTAAGATGTTCTAACACACTTCAACACAGATGAATAGCTAAGCCGAGCACTCGTTCCTCCACCATCGATGCGAAATGTGTTTGGATAGAGTTAACAGTTAGTTGTTGCAAACTTATTGTTGCCCGTATGCACGACATTGCACAAAAAGAGGAGGGGAGTTAAAGAAGCTTTAGAAGCTATGAAATCTAGGTTCTCTTTCAAGCTGCGTACGGAGTTGTCCGCGCCAAAGCCGTTCCAGCCCATGCTAGCGACGTGGCGAAATTCAACCAATCAATAGGCAGTGGACCAAATATGTAGGCTGCGGCCTTCCCTTGCACGTAACTCAAACGAAGCCGGCGCTCGGGCGGGTACCGCCTCATGTCTCTACCTTTGTGTGACATCATTTGCTCTTTTTTCCACAGTCTACAGTCTGCCCCAATCCTAAACAGGCCAAAATTGGCTTGGCGGGAGTGCGCGTCGCGAGGATTTCGCGCCACTTCTGCGTCTAGCTAGTCTGCTCTCTCCTCAATCTCTTCGCTCTCTGGACAGCGCGCATATGCAGCGCAAACCCTTAGCGCTGCGAGCGCGCAAATTCATCCGGCGGTTCGGCCTGATCCCGATTGGGGCAGACTGTATATCTTTACATGAGCTCACTGGAATCTTCGCAATGGTCTGCTGAGGAGTAACTTTCAATCTCATGATTATTGAGAGGTACAAGGAAAACTTTGATCAGATACAGCATTCCCCTGTTCATTTGTAGAGATTGGTCAGAATTTTTATTACTCTTGGGAAGGTATCATAATCTATCTTTGGCTTGCACGTCACAAAAAATGTGTAGTTTTGTCTGATCCGGTTATCTGTATGCGACGTTTTATTAAGTGATAGAATGATAAATGCATCCATAGAAAATGCGTTGAACCCCGAAGAAATCCCGACTGATCAAATGAATTAGCAGGAAGTGCACATTTGCCATACATTCCTTCAACATTTTCCAATTGCAAGGTAGAATCACGAGAAGAATATGTAGGAACAGGAAAGTACAAGTTCAAAATTCTCCCCTTTCCCTTCCCCCCCCCCCCCCTTTCATCCAAGAGTGATGGTGGTGGTGGTGCAGGAGTTATGCTCAACCTAATATAAGTCGACCAGAGACATTCACGTAAAAGTATACTGCGCATTTCTTGCATCCTATCTCTGCAAGAAGATATCGAAATAATAATCAGATTCGATTCTTCAAACCTCCATTTTTCAACCGAAGATCTTACTTGATGCACGAGTTTCATCCACGTGCATCAAGTAAGATCTTCGGTTGAAAAATGGAGGTTTGAAGAATCGAATCTGATTATTATTTCGATATCTTCTTGCAGAGATAGGATGCAAAAATGCGCAGTATACTTTTACGTGAATGTCTCTGGTCGACTTATATTAGGTTGAGCATAACTCCTGCACCAAAATGGGTACTGCCGCAATAATCTGGAATAATCCTATACCCCAAATAATTCGATACATCACTAGATAGAGCAAATCTAGCTCTACAAGACAGTGCTCAAATATCTGCACTAGCTTTGATCCACGCGAAGTTTTGAGCCGAAAACTGAAGAAAACCATGCGTTTGAAGACCTTAAGACCATCAAAACAAGATTGTAACTTTGTTCAAAAAAATCCTACAAAATTTCTTTCTTGCTTACGCGTAGACATTTCACGGAAAACATTTATCTATGCGTTTGCTGTATTTTTTCTCAGCCAGATAATGAGAAAACGAAGTTTTTCATGTTTTTGCCAGATTAGTGCTAAGATGTTTTAGCACGGTTGTATAGTAATAGGTTGTCCGGAAATTGATGTCCGTTTTCGTTTTCAACCGCCATAATTCGTAAATTTTTCATTCCTGAATAGGTTTCAAGATACCATTCAATAGAGCAAAGCAAGCTCTACAAGAATGCGTTCTTGCTTTAGCAACAGCACTGATGCACCTCGGGTTTCGAGCCAAAAACTAAAAAGATTCAACTGCCCTAAAAATCAAGAAAAATCATAATTCAGTTCGTAAGAATTCTACAAAAATTCTAACTTGCTCACGTAAACACTATCCACATAAGACATATAGTACGCTATAGCCGTATTTTTTTCTCTGCTAAAAATCGAAAAAACGAAAATTTTCATAATTTTGCAAAAGTGATGCTATGTCGTCCCCACATAAGTAGATGTGTACTACGAATCTGTAGAATTAAAAACTTGGATTTTCAGCTTTTTACAAGCTTTGTTTCTCGAGAAATTTGAATTTTAGTTTGGACCACCTGACTAATGAAAGCTATATTCGATATTTCTCGAGAACTAAAGCTTGCAGAGAGCTGAAAATTCACGTTTGTATTCTACAGATTTGTAGCACACATCTACTTATGTGGGGACGACACAGCATCACTTTGGCAAAAGCATGAAAATTTTCGTTTTTTCGATTTCTAACAGAGGAAAAAATACGGCAATAGCGTACTATATGTCTTATGTGGATAGTGTTTACGTAAGCAAGTTAGAATTTTTGCAGGATTCTTATGAACTGAGTTATGATTTTTCTTGATTTTTCGGGCAGTTGAATCTTTTTAGTTTTTGGCTCGAAACTCGAGGGGGATCAGAGCTGTTGTTAAAGAATGATAGCCATCTTGTAGAGCTTGCTTTGCTCTATCGAATGGTACCTTGAAAGCTATTCAGGAATGAAAAGTTTATGACTTGTTGCGGTTAAAATTCAAAACGGACATTAATTTCCGGACAGCCTAATACATACCGCTAGCAATGAAACTTTACATTTTCAGCCTTCTAGAACTGCTAGTTCACGAGAAATGACGAATCCAGCTCTCTTCATCCAAATTTGTCTTGCCTAGTTGCTAAGAAATCAATATTTCTCGTAAACCAGCTTCTGTAAAAAGCTGATATTTTACACTCACGCTTCTAAGGTCCTATAGTATACAACCGTCTGTGCTGGAACAACTCAGCATTTGTTTTGAAAAAAACATGAAAAACTTCGTTTTCTCAATTTCTCGCTGAGAGAAAAATACAGCAACTGCATAAAAAGAGTCTTATACGAAATGACAATGAACATGCTAGGAATTTTGAAGGATTTTTCTGAACGTACTTTCAATTTTTTCTTGGGTTTTTTAAGGCGCTTGGATCTTTTTCGTTTTTGGCTTTTACCGCAAATCTTTAAGCAGTGTCTTGTAAAGCTATTGCTCTATTCAATGATATATCGAATCTTATTCAGGATATAGGATTATTCCGGATTACTGCGTTCTGTACCTAATTTGGTGCAGGAATTATGCATCAACCTAATAGTTACACGTGAATGGAGTTCCTGGCTTGTTGGCAGCTAGCTATCTTTAGTTTTTGGAGCTAGTTCCAGGTGGAATCTCAGTACTTAACACCAGCTCACAATACTTTTTTTTCGGTAATTTTTTTTTCAATGAAGTATTAGGTTGTCCCAAGAGTATTTTCGCTTTTTTTGAACAAGCGCCACATTCCGCAGAACAAAGGTATACAGGAGCTCTTGGTAGCATTTGATGTAGTTTTTCATGCTCTTTCTGATGTTCATCTCTACAATGCAGATGATGCAACGAGCTCTCAGAAAATTGCTAAAAACTGCAACTCATGCTTCTTACCAAGGCCAGGTTCAGCTATTTTTCTAAATTTTTGTACTGATCCCCCGAAGAAGTTCAAGTGATCTGTCGATAGAGCAAACAAAGTAGGATTCTATGCAATTTTTGTCCGTTCTATAGCTTACTTTGAAAATTTTTTAAAATTCGTTCAATGCTATCAAATTCCATATTTAGTCAACTTAAACCTCATAGAACAACAGCCGGCAAGCAACTCGGGTGTTATTCGACGCAGCACTTTTTCCTCTTTCTTGTTTTTTGTCCCTGATTCGAAAAGTCTTGGAGGATAAAATCGACAAAATTCATGTTTTTCAAGGAACCCCAGGCTGTACGCGACAAATTAGAAATTACATATTTCGAACCCCGGAACGCTCAATTCTTTCGTAAAATTAGTGCTAAATCCTAATCCACTTTAAAAGTATCAAAAATCGAGAGTTTAGTGAAGTTTGACGAGTCTGCGTCTGATATGGAACTTCTAAAATTCGACGGTGTTGTTCAAAATTCTGTCAAAAAGTTATGGGGAGCCCTGAGAAGGAGATTGAAACTGTTTTGTATCCTACTTTCTTGCTCTATCCGCTGGTTACTTGGACTTCTTCGGGGTTCAGTATAAGAATTTGGAAGAATAGTGGAACTTGACCTTGGTAAAAAGCATGGGTCGCAGTTTATCGCAATTTTCTGATAGCACCTTGTTTTAACTGCTAAGTAAAGACGACCACTTGAAAGAGAATAAAAAACTGCATCGAATTCTACCAAGAGCTTCTGTTAACCTTTTTTGCGGATTGTGGCGCTTATTCAAAAAAAGCGAAAATACTTTTGGGACGACCTAATACTATATCATCTTCGATTAAATAGGATATCTTCGTTGATGCTATCTTAGCCACATTTTAGGGCTTTTACTGGACCTGCTCCTCAGTGGAGCTATAAAACTGAGCATGCAACGGCCACGACCCAAATACAACATTCACGATCAGGTGGGGTATTGAGAAAAAGAAAGTTTGATGAGATGATTTTTATTTTCAAGCGTTTGGAAGCACCTGTATCCGACCGGTTTTCCCTCCCTTCTGGGCATTTTTCAAGAACGGCTATGTTAGCAACTGTGTGGTGAGTCAAGTGGTTCTTAATATTTAAAACAATAAAACGGTAGAAAAAATTTTTACAAAAGCGATCTACAATTTTTCCTCACAAATAGTGAACCGCTTCGGAAGTCAAAGCACATCCGTGGTTTTTTGCCAAGAAGAGACTACTGAACCCGAGATAGGGCATAATTCCCACAGAGCTCAACAAAGCTTGGATTTTTTTTTAAGAATTAGTTCTTAGTCAGTCTCATGTGATGACATTATTTCAGTGTCGCATTTTATCCCCACTGCCGGTTTGCTGCCGTTGGATTATCAATGCTGGTTGCGTTCAGCAGGGTAGCTAGTATGGGACGACAGTATGTCAGCGATGCAATTTATAGTAGATTGTATGCAGTTAATTTGAAATAAATGTCTTGTCGTTTCATTCTTCTATCGTGTGCTATCTACAAAGCTAGGGGTGAGAGGGAGGGGATAGAGAACAGAGTTGAGGGTCGCGCTGAAGTCCCACCTGGGGGGGGGGACGCAATCGGCGGTCGTATGCCACACCGTTTGCTCGACCCTCCTCTAGAGCTGATTTGAGTGGGGTTTAAAGACATAATTGGGGTTCGGAGCTTAATTAGGGCTATTTACAGTATGCCGCGGCAGACTTCCGGAGCACAAAATGGGAGGATTCCGGAGCACGAGTGGCAAACCTGTGCTGGGCAGACCCCGCGACCCTGCCACTTCCGCTCCATGGGTATGCCGTCAATTGTCTGAGATGATGATGTATTCCCCCCCCCTCCCCAGCGGGAATGTACTTCATACAGGTCTTAAGTGTAACCAAAGACCTATCTTTTGACTATGCAACTAACTCTTGTTGACGCTTTTTCTGCCGAGGGATATGCAAATAGTTTTTTTTGTTAATTCTGTAAAGGCTCGCATTCCTAGCGATGCAATCTAAGCGATGTACGATCGTGCGCCGCGGCCGCTTTGCTTGTGCTGACAAGGTAACTAATTATAGACAAACAGGTATAGGAAGTTCGTATTTTAGGCGAATAAATTTGACGCTTCTTCCTTACATTAATAGTTTCTACTAATTCATACAATTGCGTTCTCTTCGAAAATGAGCAGCCCTCTCACTGCTATACTACGCATGTTCTTTCCCCCTATCTCGCCTCTCAAGGCGCTTTGGGTACCATGACTTCATCCTATCCCCGAATTATCAAGGAAATATACAAAGTGATGCCGAGCTTAAATGATATAGAATCTACTAATACCGTCTCAATCAAAGGTGCTTTTGGGCAAGGAAAACTTTCCAAATAAAGGAGAAAACTTTTTCAGAATAAATACCGAATTGTTAGTTATTTGTTAGTTCTTATAGAAACAATGACCATTTCGAGCTACAAAAAATCTCCTCTGTTACTTAAGTAAAACTCACAAAAAGAAATCTCATTGTATTTTCTGGCTTGGTCATAGAGATGGTTTTATGTCAACTTGCAATACACGTACCAGTTTTATGTACTAGCTTGCTTACCCGGCTCCGCTCGGCCCTGTCTAAACACAGTAATAAAAGTCACATCGCTATTCCTGTACAGCCTTTCCCTGTGCCCAATTTTACAGTTCATTTTCCGTTCCCTGTATTGTTTTCGAAATCAGCATGCCCGCTTACTCCCCTTTGCCAACTGTCAGCCCTGTAGCTCAAACTTTGCAAGAAAGTCGACAAAATCAACAAAACTAATAGATAATTCTGGAAATTAATACTGTATTCGGAATCGCCATGCCCAATTACCCCCCTGTGCCAACCCCAGCCCCGTAGGTGAACTCTGCAAAAAATCGATAAAATCGATATCAATCGATAACGAAAAGTAGCCTGACACGCTCCCGGCCCGAAGTGTATGTGTGCCAAGTTTGGTCCAAATCGGTTCAGAAATAAAAATTTGTATTCCGCGCATACGTACAGACAGACATACAAACAGACATTCAACTTTATATATAACAAGAGTGTTTTGTGCATTTGATAGATAAAATGCTAGACACATACAAAAGAGTCTCAGAATTTTCTCTGAGTTTTTGAACACCATCCGGTTTCGGGGCTAAGAACTATACCGATAGTGCAGCTTCCCTGGTGCCCCTCGTCAGTAGTTTCCAAGGAAGCCTTAAAATTGTAGCAAAAGATTTCAGCCAAAATTAGAATCCAAGGTGTAAAGATTATAAAAAGAAGATATATAAGATAAGATTATTATAAGAAGATATATAAGAATTCTATTTGTCAAGGAATGTCTAGAAAAACGCAAAGTCATGCAAATATTCTTAGCGTCCTAGCTAGAAGTTAGCTGGCATACCCAACTTTGTCCTCCTGCCTTTACTTACTTAGACGTTTAAATACTAAATTACTTTTCACCGCGTCGAGTGCGAGCTCCAACACATATATCCACTGTTTTTGTCCCTCGTCCTGTAATCTGCGATGGGATCTTGTCTATCATCTTGTTTATCATTCTGAAAGTAACTTCGGATAGTACGGAAATTTCGGAAGCTTTTTGATAATTTTTCGGATACTCAGCACATTTCTACTTTGTTGACCATTCATCTCTTCGTAGATAGAGCAGTCTGCCATGATCGCCTCTTCGCAGCTAATCAATTTGAAAACCTTGAGTTCACGATACGAGGGCCTTATTATTGATAAATCCGGCCAATGAGACAGATTTGCAACTAATAGTGTGTTGAAAAGCATTCAGAGCCTGCAATCTCATCACCTTTAGCATTTCTACGTCATACACTGCGACGTATTTTTTCTTTTCTGGCGTGAATGAAATCGTTTCTAAGAAAAAGGAAGTTTTTAGCACATTAGTTTGAAACTTATAATTTTTTGGTCTTTCATTAGCGATACCCCGTACAAAAACAGCGAATTGTTTGAAATCGCCGCTCCCATAAAGTCCTTTGCAATAAAGATGCTGATAGATAGAAGGAACTCCTAAACTTCCGGTTTCAGGGAGCTGATTCACTTTTCGCTGTATTTGAAGCTTAAAGAACCTTATTTCAAAGGCAAAATCTAAAGAACGCAGCTAATGAATTCTGAGTAGTGTTCAGTATTCTTCATTTTCTTGAGGACATCTTTTTTTCTTCCAGCTGGCGAAGACCTATCGAACGCTTGGCCGAGATAATTGATTTCTGAGACGCATTAAAGTCATCATGGGCTGAAGTGCCTTTAGTGATAGGATCGGCAAAGTAGAGTGATTTAGTGTCAATAGTTTCTGGATAGATTCATGCAAATAACCAAATATTTCGAGCCCTTCACTTCCAAAAATTACTGAAAAATAAAGCTTTTTTGAAAAGCCCGGGAAGAATTAGCAATTTTTGAGTCAGTGGAAGACCTAGGAAGGAAACTGGCAAATTCTGCTACTAGTTGTGCTAACAGCAAAGCTGAGCATTGAACTGGTTATTTCTCATTTCGTTTCGTGTTCAGAAAAACGCATTATTTCAATAAGCTTTTAAAACGATCGTTCATCTGAAAAGATAATGGAAAAATTGCTGAAAAAATAATTTAAATGCTGCTGTAGAGTTTCAAAGGTCAAATCGATTATGATCAAATCTCAAAATTTCTTGCTTGACCGTAGTCATGCCACTGGGATATTTGGGATGCACTGTTTGCCCCTCTAACAAATAATCGATTGGAGGCCGGAGCATTAGTCAAGATTCTGAATAAGCTTGTCCATATCGATTGCGATGGAAGAATTTATACAATTCTAACATCAGTCCAGACGTCAAAAGACGGGACCAATCCTTGACTCAAACTAGAGTTATTTTTAACGTAGAAGTGCGAGAAAACGGAGGAACAGATATGTCTAGTTGGTGATTTATTTGATTGCACGGCAGAGAAAATCGAATAATTTTCTGTAACGATTGCTGTTACAATGGGGAAAATTTAAAAAAAATAACAATGATTATTGTTTACAAAGTTCATCTAACTTCCTCTTTTTGTTGAATGCCAACAAAACTTGAAGTTCACGCTTCAAGTCTGTTACCTATGACTAATGATGATTTATTCTGTGTAGTCGATCGATGGTCATTGTTCACAAGACAAGGTTCGCACCTTTGCATCTGCGAGGTGGCAACATGCCTGTGCTACAGCTGGGTGTGGGTGCACCCAAGCTCACTTAGTGGATCAAATAGACGCACATAAGAAATTAGCTCACTTTTCAGTGCTGATAGAGGAAGCAATCTGTATATTTTCGAGAAGCTTATTGCATGTAGATTCAGAATATATAAAAACTGTGATGTTTGGTGGGACCAAGTGCAAGTGTAAGTTTGCACTTTTTCGTTCAACCCAATGCGGTTAGTTCCTCCAAAGAGCACTCAAACACATGCAGGTCTTAATGACCGAAGCCTATTTTATCATTATAAAACTGTGGCACGTCACCATGTCCATTCCTACGATACGGTCGTTTGAAAATGGTCCCACATTGCAATCAGAGCATGAGCACCCTAATTCGGACTTACATATCTCTCGTGAAAAGTTCGTAAGATAGTAGTTATTAATCACTCCATAGAAAATTTGTTTTTCTATTTGCCGGTGAATAATTCGTCTATGAATACGAATTTGTGAAGTTACGTTAGCCTTCGAAGTTTGAATTTTGCGCTCTGATAGCAAAGTTTCTTTATCCAATTAAAAAAAATTCTTGATTTCCAAAACCTTATGGAAAACAAGGAGTAAGACGTCATGTATTTTAGATTTGTGAAAGCAAACTTCAATGATTACTGGCCATACAGCGACTTATGAGCTAAAAATCATTTTCAAACAGAGAGAAGCAGATATTCGGAATCAGCGTCTTTTAATCTATCCAAAAGGGGTTCGCGGTAAACGTTCCCGCCGTTGGGAACGTTTACCGTGACGTCACCGGTAAAATGGAAATCTTGATTTGCCGAAAATGAAGTTACGGTTTTGGATAGATTGAAGACGCTGATTCCGAATATCTGTACTTTTTTGAAAAAAAACCCTAGCTAGATGGCAAATCTCGACAGAAATTGCGAGCTGCTGTTTATGAATTTCCGCAGCCAAGAATTAAGAAGTTACAGGTATTTGTGTGTGATAATCAGTTTTTGGGCTCCATACTACTTGGATTTAACCTCATGCTTGAGATGATTGTGAACTTAAATGTGTGAATGCAAATGTACATTTTACAGCAACCAGTTCATTTTTGGAGTATGATTTCTCGAAGATTCAAGGAAAAACTTGACAATTCTTATTTTGTGCTCCATTCCCCACTCAATGAATTTTAAAGATATGGAAGTTATCATTTGATTTTCCCTGATTTTCTCTGGATAGAGATGATTTTCTTTGGATAGAGTTAACAGTTAGTTGTTGCAAACTTACTGTTGCCCGTATGCACGACATTGCACAAAAAGAGGAGGGGAGTTAAAGAAGCTTTAGAAGCTATGAAAT